AGTGATTCACACACTTACGGTGCCTACTGTTCGCTTGACTCAATTATCTCTATCTTTAATATATCTGCATATCTATCTCTTAGATCTATCTGCCTATCACGCTGGCTTTCTTTGCCAGGCTTATATACTATAAAAGAGGGCATCTATCAAATACTCTGAGATTCACAGAGTTCCCCGATAATTCTAGAAACTCCAGCACATATGCTACCAGTGTAACGCGACTTCTGCTGTCGTAACAATACTATGTTAGTTACATCATATACTTTAGTTTAAGGTTAGACAAAATGATTGCACAGGAAACTTACATCATACACACAAAACTTGTATTAATAAGTGTTCCCTGCAGTGATTATATGACGAGAGATGCATGTATAGTACTGACAGGTGACAAGAAACTGATTGAGAGATGACAGGTCAATAACCAATTGCCGGTCTCCAGAGACAAGACTAATAACCCAAAATATGGGTGAATATATATCTTGATGGTTGTCTTTCATAAGAGATGAGAGGCTTCATCCTCAAGATGCTTAAGATAAATGAGACCAGAGGGAGAAAGAATGGAAACGAAAAGGGGAAGGGGGTTGAGAGAGAGGCAATCAAAATCATTGTTATTCTGACCGTATTCAAATTGGAAAGAAGGAACATCAGCCAAATGGATGGGTGGAGGAGGCCCAGTGTGCATGAAGGAACTCACAACAATTTGAACAACAAGCCTCTATTAGACACAGGTTCTGTGTTAGTAACATCATCACTATCATTTGAGAATTCATAATTGTGTGTAATCACCACATGTGAAATGAAAGAAACTGTACAAGGAATTAACAATTTTGTAACACATCCATTCTAGATAATGCAAGGATAAAAACAAAGTTAATTCAAATGCAAGTGATTAAGTCAGGGGTCGGCAACCTTTCAAAAAAAAGTCATTGTTTTGATGTTAAATGTTTAAGACCAAAACATTTCAAAAATGAAAAAAGTCCTCCAGTTGGACCGAGGTATGTCTTTGGATTTACAATGCTAAAACCAGGGGTTTGATTCCCCTAAGTGGACAAAGCAGATAACCCAAGAGCCCACAAATCTCCCTAAAGAGCCGCAAGTTGACGACCCCTGGTTTAGGAAGAATTACTGTGTAAGTAGGTTGTGTCAACCTAATATTGAAGAAAGGCTATTGTCACATAGGGGTAGTTCACTTTAAACATGTTTTATAGATGGGAGGTAGCTTGTAGTTAATTCAAACAAAACTCATAACTAGATGTATGAATTAAGCAGAAGTGAGGTATCATCTCAGAAATTTTTTCTCACTTGTTGACTGTTAGGTCAAACTTTTTGTATGCAAGAAATAGTTTTGGCTATTCCAAAGTGACCAACTAATGAATGATTCATTACTGTTGGTTATAAAAAGAGTGAAGAATATGTAACTTGAAATGTATTTGAGCATAGTAAGGTCTATTTGTAGCCCTGCAGGGTTGTATTGTTCTTTGAGTACTGGACCAGTTATTGGATCAAACAGTTGTAGAATTGGAACATGAACCATATTCTACAGGTATGTTAATAGTTATTTTCCAATGTTTATTTAAGATAGCACAGCTGTAGAATGAATATCAAGGGTTTCTTCAGTATTATCACCTCCAACATGATTCTGACACAAGGCATCTGTTACACATGTTATATATAACTTTAAAATAAGTCATGCAGTTTTAAAATCTACCTCATCAAATGACCTTTGGACAGTTAAATAGCCAAGTTAGAGCACTATGATCAGATAATTGTGTAAATTTAGATACTGTTTAATATGGTTCAAGTATCCAAAGTACAGTTAGACCTTATATTTCAGTTACAGATAATTTACATTCAATAATAAACAGAACATGTCTTGTACAAGAAATATATCAAAAATTATCAGCATATTGAACAGGAATAGAGCCTAAATCCACATCCCAAGCATTAGAATGTACTTAAAAACAAAGCTAATCTGGAAATTGAAAGATTGGTTCTTTAAATATAGTTCTTTCAGTACCTTCAGGGCATCTTGATAAGGCCAATATGATAGAATAAGAATAGGTTGTCTATGATGGGTATACTAGAATGGACAGCAATAGTCTGTAGAGGAAAACATTTCAAAAGTCTTCCGTATGATTTTGATTAATTTATTATTTTTGTGACATTAATCGATTTAACAATAATTTTACATAATTGGTTAGTTGATATGACTTTAATGT